CCAGGCCAGACCGGGTCAATTACGGGAATCTTAGTTTGATACCGGGCATTACGGGGGAGGGCCATTGTGGTCTATCTATCTCACGATGGAGACTAATTTCTCCGTGGCTTGCGACTGCACACTCAAGACACCAGCTAACAGCCAAAGAACCAAAGAAATCCAATCGCCATGCTCGGTTTCCAAGGCAAATGGCGTGAACAAACACAAAAAGGATGTGTCCATGATAGATAACATGGTATGCCGTCATCACTGCGCTTGATGTCCATCATCAACCATGAGATCTGACATTCGACATTCGACATCGACATCGACATCGACATCGCAAAGTCACCCCATACTCTGCTATCACACACCCCTTCCCTTCAAGGTTTCCCACCCTCTCTTTCTTGTCTCTCTCCGGATCGCATTCCCCAGAACCCACTCCAACCGAAGGGAATGCTTCCAATCCAATCGCTCTGGAACCGGACGGAACTATTGGAGAGTCAAACCAAATACCAAAAAGTCCAAAAGTCGATCCACGAAAAACCTTCTGATTAACCTTAAGGTTCGCCTCCCGAGTCATTGTCATGTTGTCAATCATGAACAATGAATGAGATCATGTTTTCGTAACCCCGGGGGCAGGGGGGGCTGAATACATTCGGAAAATGTTTACTGCGCCGACCGTAGGAGAACTTTTTTGACATCATGCTTGTTGTGGTGTGATGAATCGGGTTAGGTGACTTTTTGGCTCATTCTTTTCTTGGCGGCCTTTTGGGAGAAAAGGAAAGGAAGATTAGTCACGCGCCACTGATCGGCTTCCATAGAGCAGAAAACCGATCCCGAGTCGGTCATCATTGACTCGGGCGATATTGCTGTTGCTAAGCAAATTTAGTAATCTATTTGGAAAGGGGGAATAGGAAAGTGCAGCGAAAGGGGAAAGAAAAAGGATAAAAAAAAGAAAAAACCAAGATGCGCGTACCTGACTACGAGTCGAGGGGCACTCCGAAACTACCTAGTCCCCAACCCCGCCAGGTTTATTAGGAGGAAAAAGCGCCGAAGGAACAGCACAGAGCAAGTGTTAAGGTTCTAGGTCGTTATAGAATCACCTGGACACTGGATTTTTGCTCTCCCTTCCCCAATTCCCACATGCACACCGGCGAGCGTTTCCCCTGCAACCCTAAGCGCACAGGGCACTGAGGGTTGCTCTAGGGTCGATCTGGATTAGTGTTACTGTCTTTAGCAAGGGGCACTAGTCCTCTTTCAGATCACGACCCCGCAGATTTGAGCCAATCACGCGGACGGCCACGCATATCCCTTGCTGCTTGTTCAGGCATTCTAAAGTTCTGGAGCTGCACATGGGACAGGGTCAATGGCCGTTGGAAAACCGACCTGCTTACCCCTCATTTTCGTGGGTTTGTTATCGAGATGGGAGATATGGGCTTTTGTACGAAGTATAGATGAGAGACAATCAGAAGAAAGGGGTCGCGAGAGGTTGACACAATTGGAAAAAAAACTCAGCGGAAGCCCACTCCCGGAAACGCGCGCGCCCACAGCCAACTCACTTTCTTACTAAGGCAGAGAACCTCGCTCCAGTTCCCAAGCCTGACCAGACTCGCTCGCCGGTGTCGAACATTCCATGGATTGCCGTCGGACCCGGACCCACTACAAAGGTCAGCTGCCCGACCATTTTTGTAAGGTGGAGTCAAGTCGAGGCCCTTTTTTGACTCTTTTTTTTTTCTCTGCTGCTTTCCCCGGTAACAAGGGCTGGAGAGCAGTAAAGATCATCCGAATGCTGACTGTACATCGTACATACCTTTTTCCATGTGGGAAGACGTGCGCGTTCCCTTTTTCGCCTCCTCCCAACTGGGTTTTACTCATACTCTCTGCCGTCCAGATTTAATCTCTGTCGCTCACCACGACTTTCATTCATCACCCGATGGAGGGGATCGATAGCATGATGACTGTAGCGAATGTAGGCAGAGAAACAATACATACCCTTTCGTACAGAAAACGTGGTGGCTTGATACATACAATAGTGTGGTGCACAGGTAAATAGGCGCGTGGTGTAACGAGTCTAGACCCGGGGATCTTCCGCTTGCAGAATCTGCCAGATCAGATGGTCACGACTCACCAACCCGGATTTCTCTTTTCGGAGTTCCGTCACCACTACTGTGGTAATTTTCCCACTGTGCAGTGCGCTGCTGGGCGCGGTTCCTCCCTTCCCCCCCCCCTCCCCTCCCCTCCAGCTCCTCCAGAACCCTCTGCCGACTCCCCTCCGCCATATTTCTTCTCTCTACCTCCCCCCTCTCCTCTTTCAGGCTCTTCTCATTTTTACTTCTTCTCTCCAGATTTTCACTCCAGATCACTCAAAAGTCAATCGTCGCGCCTTCAAGCCACTCCCCTCCTAGGCATTGTATCCACATCTACTACGCTGCACTCGCACGCGCGACTAGCACTTAATCACATCCTCCAAGTAATTGAGTCACATCTTGACACTCCCACCTAGGGAGTATTCATCCAAGTGATCTCGAATCATCCTCATCATCATACCTATTATATCAACCATTCGTCAACACAATGGCGGTTACAACCATCGATATCATCCCTAAGACTTCTTCCTCTCCGCTCTCCTCCAACAACCCTTCCATGAATAAGCGCTGGCCCCCTCTCGCCGACAAGACCTCCCTCCCCTACAAGCTCACCACCCTGTCGCGTCAGAAACTGGCCCGCGAGGCTACTGCTCCCGACCCGGACATCCGTCGCTGCCTTGGACACTTCCGCCTGCACTGCCGGTCCATGGAATGGGCGCAGAAGGATATGTCGACGCGCATCAACTCGTTCGAGATGGAGGACGACGAGTCCGAGGATGAGGAGGACCGGGACGATGAGAACAAGAAGCTGCCCGACGACCGCAAGGACGAAGACCAGACCTTGATGAAGCCAGCCTCGACTGAGCCTGCCGACAAGGCTACCTCCGAATTGGAGACCACCACAGTCCACGTGAGCTTCCACGTCTCGGCACCCCCCGCTGCCGAAAAGGAGAAGGAGAAGGAAGGACTTCTCGAGAAGGGCCGCAACTGCTTGGAAAAGACGGTGCAAAGGAAACACTTCTGGCCTTCGCCGGGGCAATGCCTGCCTGTTCGGATTGCAGGTTGATTTTCCACGACACCATCAATTACTCAACTCGTCTCTCAACTCACTTGACACCTCGACATCCTATCTTCAAAACAGCTCACCTCTTCTCCTACAAAACATGTCTCAAATCCGACCAAACATAACCTCGAAAACCCACCACCAACCCACCTCAATCTACCACCTCTCTAATCTCTAATTATGACGCCACGAAGCCACGATTTTCATTTTTTTCCTTTCAACCTGTTACCACCACCATCTATTCATCTATACATATAACCAGCGGAGTTCGAATTTCGATCATCATTTCTTTTTCTTGTGGACGGGTTCCATTACTAGCTTGGCGTTGGTGTGCAGAGCTATTTACATGATCAACGGTCTTAATTGCAAGAAAGGATCGGAGCACAGCGAACTGGGATGCGGCCAGACAGCACAGAGCATTGGATATGCATTGGGAATGTATTTACATATTTTTTTTGTGTCTATCAAAAAGTCAAACCTCTAGATCAAAACATCACAAAATGAACAACAAAATGAAAAACAAGTCAAACAAACTGGTCCCTCCAATGATTGGGTGTATGGTCTTCTTTCCTGTCATTGATTCCTGATAATCGTCCGATTGGTTTCTCCCACTCAATGACTCAAAACCCCAGACCCGACATCCCCAGAATCCCCCCGGTCAACTCATGTGACCCACGGAGGAAGTGAATAACCGAAACCAGTCTAGCGCACAAAGGATGCATACCTAGTTTAATGCACCCGCTTAATCAGAACCACCTCCTAACTTACACACAACTGAAGCAAACTAAGCAAAGAGGTAGTATTCATGTATGAGTCAAATCACGCCCACAACCCAACCCAACCCAACTCAATTCCACGTACCTACCCTCCCTCAATCCAAAACCTACAAGCAAAGAAAAAAAAAGAACTCAACAAAAACCTACTCCACAATCAAAACCCCTCCCCCCCCCCTCCCGCCGGCAACTCTCCCAGCGAAACCCTCGCCTAAACGATGAGTAACTCACATACTGTATGTGAAAAGGTTCAAGGTCCCGTAACGCAACGATGATGCAACCCCCGTCCGTACCTTATCGACCGCCAATCGGATGACTTGCCCATCTTCCCATCCAATGGCCATGCCATCCATACCGTCAACAGTTTTTCCTTTCATGTGTACAATTCACGGATTACCTTAGTACCCACTCACCTTTCCGTAGCACCGCCGCCCGAGGCCCAGCTTGTATGACCAAATTGCCACATTTGTGTCATTGCTTCGATCATTGAGTTTGATGTTGAGTGGGTGTGGGGAGGGGGGTCGGGAACGATTGGGTGGGTGTATACTTGGTTTGAGCACTAGGTGTGCGGTGGAGCTGCTGGGGTGTCTGGTCTGAGGCTACTAGTGGGTACTGTGCTGTACCTTAGTACGGTTGTGGAAGGATTCGCGGGCTGAATGGGGGGATGCGGCTGCTTCTGCTTTTCTTGTGGGGGTATCTTGACGTAGGGTCTGGGGCGATGGGTTGGGTTGGGTTCATGTGATTGTGTGGTGTGGGATGGTGTGCTGTGGTAGGGCTGACTGAGGCTTTGGGGGGCGTTGGGTCCACTTCGTTCGGTTGCTTGGGTTTGTATGGATGGAAGGACGGCATGGATACTCGGAGGACATGTGTACATACGTAGGGTATGATGTTATTCTGGGGCCCCGGGCTTTGATGAGGAGGGAAGTGGTGTGAGGTGCCACGGGGGTGTGGTGATGCATATGTACCGTACCATACCCGTAGGGGGCAGTACTTCGGGACAGGTAGGTTGCCACTTGGGACTTTTGATGATGACGGGGAGGTATTTGGATGAATAGGATGTAGGGGTTGTTTGCTTTGCTTCCCTGATAGCTTGAAATGGAGGGAGGCGAATTCTTGAGGTAGGTAAACTTGTTTGATGCGGTGAGAATGTTGATGGTGCTTAGCTGGAGTATACTGTGCTGTTTGGCATGTACTATACTTGCTATCCATTCAAGGTCATTCAAGCCAATTGAGTACACTCACTGTATCTCCGACCTCGGGATACATTCAAATGCTATGTTGCTTACAGAAGATACACCCTTTGTATGTGTCACCTCGATATGCCGATGATTCGCCGCAGTCGCCTTGACGTCGATCCATGCCTCACCCACCGGAAGGCATCATATGGCGACGTCAGGCCATGCTTCTCATCCGTGGCGTGAATCACAACCAAGGCTTCCAACAAACGCATTCGTTGAGGTATTGTGCGGTGTAATTGCACAGCTCTCGTATCCTGATTTCTACTCTTAGGTACAATAGAGCCGTCGTGAGGTTGTCCGTAAATGATGCTGGTCGGTTGGCCGCGTGAAAGAAAACGTCTGTTAATCGCTGAAGATGCAGTCAGGGCCCAAACCGCAAGTGGATTATGCTGCAGTAGCCATAATGGCGAGGTTTCGGTAGGAGATGCGTAAGAACAGTTTAGCCTGTAAGTTATAGCTAAGAAAGGAATGGAAAATTTGAATATGATAGACTTAATTATGTGGTAGTATGAGAGCGATGCTGATTTAAGCTCTAGCCGGAACATAAAATGCTTGGAACACTGCTTCAAGATGCGTGATGCTATTCAGACCTGCCCACAAGAATTCAAAAGGCGGATGTGGAGCGGAGCAGGCGGAGCGGAGGTGCGACGGCAGTTTCATGGCGGACCGCCGCCCTCTCCCAAAGATCTCCGGCGGTTGCATCATCGTCGCATCTACAACATCAACAACAACGCAGGACGCATCATCTACACCAGCTTCTCGTCGATCGTATCCTTAGCATAGCGCCGCTGCTCCATCTCAATAACTCTACAAGCCACAATCAACGAAGCATGAGCACCTCCATCCCCCGTCCACTGCCCCGATCGACATCCCACCCGCCGACCAAACGGTGCGGGTCTCCATTATCGACCAGTACAGCAGCCCACTTGATAAGTGAGTGCAGTACAGCCCAAACCCAATTGACCACCACTGACCCAAACATCAAACCGCGGTGGCTCGCGCCTCGACCTAACATCCGTCCCTACAAAGGCTGCGACCGCTATTGGGTCAGTGCCAACTAGGGCTTCTCCTTCCTAATCTCACACATCCCCTTCTCTCAAACCTCCTCTTCGACCTCAACATCCTAAGCGGCACTATCGACGCCGTAATATAGAGCTACCCACACATCAAGCACACCAGCGACCTCACCACCTTCCAACTCCCGACAACCACCGCCCTCATCGTCGACCCGGACTTCCAACCAACCTTTCTACCTGACAGGCCACACAACCAACCCATCCCCCTCCCCTCCACAAACATTCCTTCTTCTTCACCAACCGCAGCACCATCCACGAACTCACCTTCACCCTTGGCGCAAACAATCCCAAAATCTGCACCGCCCATTTCCAAGCCCACAACTCCTTCAACAACGGAAAGCCTCTAGTAGACCTCCTCCACACCCCCGGCCGCACAGTCGCGCACACCTGCGCCCTCCCGCGTACCACCGCTAACCAGCTCGTCAACATTCATGCCCTCTCTCGAGGAGACTCGGCCCTCGCCCGTGCTCCGCGGAGTTGGCATTCCCCAAAAGGTCCCGGCGAGTGGTTTGAGGCGGTTAAATTGGGCGGCGAAGAAGCCGCGGACACAGTCGTTCTAGTGGCTCGCGCCGGAGTTGAATCATGACCTGGCGGAGGAGGAGTGGATGACTGAGGGGTCGATGAAGTTGGATGCAATGCCAGAAGCATGTGGATTCTTATTGCGCATGATGCATCGATGAAGAAGGTCACTACCGTCGGGTGGGGCTCTTCCCCGAGAAACAATTAATGCGGTGGTTCGAGGAGAGCTGGAAGAAAGGTAATCGATGGAGGTTTCTGGGGAGGATGTTGAGGTCATGATTAAAGAGGTTTCGTAGGGTGATGGTCACTGGTTTTGGGGGTTGGTTCTGGAAATAGCGAAGATGATTGGGTGTAGAGTACTGAGCACATCGGCCTATGTGTACTACAGTACTACCATACATGGATACCTCGTACAGACCCCACGCAAAACTCTATAGAAAAAATAAAAGCCCTCCCAAACTTCCATATAATTCTGCCTCCCTTGCCGAATGTGTGGGGTAGGGCGCTAATTAAATCAGCTCGTAGTACACACCAAAACACAAAAACATCCCTGCAACCAACCCGGCCTAGCCCATCCCGCTACCCCAAGACTGGTCTTGCATGCATACAAGCATCGTATTTCTTCCTCTCGTTAGGGCGGGCTATCGACAATGAGAGTAATAGGTAGCTACACAGGATTAAACACGCTTCTACTGTCCACTCGTACAACAAAATCTAGCATCTAGTCAGCCCTATGAGTGTTGCTGCTGGCACCCCAAATTGATTCCTCTTGGACTGTACTACCAAGAGCCATCCGCAACGACTAAGACATCAAGCGCTAACTAGACACCGACTAGACTAGCTAGCTCCACGCCACATCTCTTGGCAGAACGACGTTGTTCAGATCACAGCAAATTGATTCCGGGCTGGAAGCTGATCATTATCAACAAGACCTGTTCTGATCTTTTGTTGCTCACTATTACTCTTATTATTATTACTGGAAAAAAAGAGGGATGATGAATACATATGGATGGTACATGGGGGGGGTTGGTATACGGCGGGTATAACATGCAGGAATTAACCCTAAGTTTGTCCTAAGAATGTCAGCGTCTCTGCCTGAGGCATCGATTAGACTACATGTGACAACCTTTGGTCAGAGGATTGTTCTTAGTGGTAGGTAGCGGCCATAGTCTGTTGCTGATTATGCATGCGATACATCCATGATATCGCCATCGCTCAATGCTCTCTAATGGGGCCAGTCGGTTTCATTTGTTGAAGAGTATTATGAGAATAGTAGGAGAGAGGAGGAGATATGGAACAAACACCAGGTAATTCAAGTAATCACTATATTCTTGTTCTGGAAGTATTTAAGGTACTAAGCCTCGGCCCCAAGAAGGGCCAACACACGTACATACCACCGATGGTACTAAGGCATCAATCGAAGCAAGTGCCAGGGGTTCCGAGTTCGTTCGCCTCCCTACCGTAACGGGACCTATTCCCGCGCCCGGAGAAAGGAAACCACCCAGATGTAGTTGATGCCATTATTCAGCATCTGCGATTAAAACGTGCACCCGGAGCATCTCCACATTATTCACATAAAGCTTCGGCGGATGAACCCTGGCATCCACAAATACCTGTCCTTTCGTCACATCAGGTGTGACGCGGTGAGACATATATCCAACTTCTGACGGCACAGCCCCCGGTCGCGCCTCTTTCAGCATTCTCCCGATAAGGCTCACTCTATCAGGGAGCTTCCACGCCCGGAAAATCGGGCAGATGGCTTCGACGATCACATACTTTCGAGGCGCGGCGGGGCTTATCGTGCGGTGACACACTTCCAGAAATGTATTCATCGAGTTCCGGGTCACTGCTTCAACTGTCTCGTTGGGCTCGACGGGGGCGGGGGCAGGAATGTTTGCGAGCACCACGCACTCGCTGCCGATCATGACCACGACCGCGGCAGTATTGCTCAAGAGCTTGGCAGTGCCGATGGCTCTGAATTCGATTTCGCCACTCTCATTGTCCTTCTTGTTCTCTCCGGAGTCTGGGCCTGGAGCGGTGAAGGTAATGCTGCCCACGGCTCCGGGTTCGATGACGGCCACTTCGTCGGTCAGGATGGCTTGTTCGAATCTCTGAGCCATCTTGTCTCTTCCACTCGAAAATAACAAGATGCTGTGTGATTGAATGGCCCTGTGTTTGAGCTGAGAAAGTGAGTCTAGTGTAGGAGTGTATGAATGGTAGAGTCGGAGGTTGATAGTGCGGAAGTTCGTTGGTTCAAGCTCTGAATTTATAGCAGGACTCGATCCTAGCAGCAGGGGTACGGGGCTTCGAAGGGCATTGTCAGATGCATTTCAAGGTTGACTCGACAAAGGAAGTTTGGAGAAGTATATCTGTAAGCGTTCTGAGAGTAAAGTGCGATGAGGTACGGTCGGGCTCAAGCGCTTGGGTCTCGGGAATGACATTTGTATCAACGTGTGTAGGATCTCCGATCGCATTGTGGGGGATTCAAGCTGCAGGCTTTGTTTGCGACAAGGTCTCGGAAGATAAATCTAGAAGAGTCTTTGATTTAGCCTTGTAATGCATGTGTAGAGATTTCTTGGTGTGGAGCTGAAAGGAAAGGACTGGCGAGAGCTTGATCGAAAGATTGAATGCAAGCAAAGACAAAAGAACAGCTGAAAGGATGAGAGAACAATCTCAAGAGCACGGAACAAAGAGATCATTGTCTCACCATGGAGGCCATGGAGCTCCTCATTATGATGCTTGCGTACCTGCAAAACACTTCAGCCTTCTGGTAGGAGATGATCTGAGTGCTGTTTGTTGATGCGACATGTGCTTGGTGATCACGGAGGGTATAGCTGAAAAGGTTCGTCTGCCGGCAGTAAAGATCTATTACAACATAAACGAGGAGTCTGTTAGCATACAAGGGTTGTTGTAGAATCAAAAGGACTGGGAACCAGAGAGCTAGGCCATGGGTGTTGGGCAAAGCTTTTTCTTGTTGGCGAAAAGGGTTGAGTGTGAACTCTCAAATATCTTGAAATGGCGGGAACCTCATGCGTGTCGTGAGAAAAAGTCGTACTTGAATGAATGCCTCCTCATTTTGGGATCACTCTGACATGTGTGGGAGGAAGTGTCTACCGACTGGAAAGTCACGCCGTCGAACTTGGGGATGGCGATGAGCCAGGACGGTCGCGCAATAGATCATCTAACAAGAGACCGGCTTGCATGGTAGTATCCTAGGAGCCAAGGCAAAGTTCGTCACCGCAGCTGCAGAGTGTAAAGAACAAGAAATCCCAGTGGTAACCTGACCATCGCGAATAACCTCACGTTCCCTCCCCCTGCCTTCGAGCACAGCCCGCCAACTAAGCCATCAAAAACGAGCACAAAGGACGCGCTGGGCGCCTCACAGACAGCAGGAATCATCTTCTCATTAGTAGTACTACTACGATCATATCCCCAAAGCAAAAAGCTCACCGCGCCCCTCCTCGCGCAAGCCGGGCTGCGCGTGGAGAGGAAAGGCTACGAAAACCCCCGGGGTGGTTTTGCAGACGAGACCGCACACTGTCGGTCTCGTACCCAGGGCTTCCAAAGCTGGAAGCGGAGGCCAACCCGCTCAGCTATGGTTACCCTGGTGTTTGTGAGCTATACATAACCGGGGGGTATATGTTCGCACTGGTTCGCCGAAAGGGGAAGCCGTGAAGAGCCTAATCCGTCAGGCAGAAGTATGTTGATGCCTGATGCGGGTACCTGGCTGCCTTAGAAATCGGGTACTAACATGCTGATGCCTTAGGCGCCGGCTCGCTGCCGGCTCGCTGCCTTGATTATTTTTCTTTAATGGAGTTGAAGGTTTAAAATCTACTCTGTTCTTGTACATAAGCCAATAATGGACAGTATTAGATGTCTATAAGCTTGAGTATCTATTATCGACCAGCGATGCTGAGCCCAAGTCGCACCCGCTTCGTCGGAGCAGCTGTGTGCATGCAGCCCGTATGCGTAAGGAGACGTGGACGATTATTAGTGAACGAACTCGGTATAGTCGAGGCGTGTGCGCGAGGAAATGTCAGACGTATGCGTAAGAGAATGCGGTATGGACGGAAGTTGTCAACGCTCGACTTTTGCTAGGCGTAGCAACAGGTCGTTCGGCAGAGGCCACTGGTCGATGGGGGTACCGATAAAGGAACGGTCCTGCTGAGCGAAGAACCAAGTCTCTGTGGCGCCAAGAAACGCGCGCGCCCTTCTATTCAACATTGTCGACAGCTTGTACTTCGCCTTGCAGTATTTCTCGAGGGCGTCAGCAGGAGGACCCCAGGTATGGACACTGCGAGGACTTCGTTGAGCTTGCACTTGTCGGGTAGGAGTCCTTTGCCAGCTTCAGGGATTTTGTCGGTGTGCCCGCGCTTAGGGCTAGATAACAAGGAACCTACTAACTTCATGCCCTGAGCTTGAATGCCAACTTCCCAATATCATTTCATGGATATCAGTCAATAACGATGGGAAAGTCAAGAGGAGTAATTCCACTTTGTCAAATGCTGAGTTCAAACTGGATATTACCATCGTTCATGGAATTTTCAGTGCCCGCCTGTTACAGAGGCCTGTATGGACTCAATATTTTTTGACCAGTCAATTGACCTAAAACCAGCTGTCAGCTCTCATATGAGACAAAGATATGAATGCGGCGACCTTACAGTTTCGAAGGCAGTTCAGCCTTTTTCAAAAGTGCTTATTTCCTGGCGATTTAATCGCCAGGGCTAGCGCATTCCGAATCGCCTTTGCCTTTGCCGGTCCATAGCATAGCAACCAGTCAACCTTCCCTGCGAATTTAATACCATAATCATCGAACCGGCCCTATATGAGGGTCTCATACTCGTGGTAAAGAGCCCTAAAATGACCGAAAGTCGTCTTTCTTGCTTATCACCTGCTCGAGCGGTCTGCTAAGCACAAACCCGTAATGATAAATACCTCTGTCACTTGGCGAAAAAGCTCCAAAGCGCATATCAATGTCTGCCTTCTCGTCATTCTCCACCCCGTTCACCACAGACTTCTTCTCTTCCTGATCCTTCTTCTTTGCGAGACGTTCCTTCTTTCCAGCCTTGGGCAATGATATATGGTTTTCGTCCAGTTCACTGCAGACTAGCCAGGAACATTGCTAGATTGCCTGGAGGCAAGGGATCGCGTATCATCATTCGGCATCGGGACGTTTGAATGCAGATTGTGGTGCCTCGTATTCCCAGTGTATTGTTCCAGACTGCCAGTCCTAGACTTGTTCGGTGAAGCCGCTTAGTGCTTTTGCAAGCTCATTTTCTCCAGGTTTCATTAGTTCCAAGACGTGTTTCTGGAGCGTGGGCGGGCTGGGGAAGCGTGGACCATCTCATCACAAAACGAGGCAGAACGAATAAATGCACAGCCTACGTCACAGCCCTGTTGGTCAAAATCTGCTGGATAGTAATGGGCTCTGTCCGCAGTAGACAGTTCGTTGATGGCAAGTAACGCCCACGCGTCGCTGAGACGGGTGCCCAAAGGAGGTCAGTGGCGTTCCTCCGGCAAAACCTGCTGGGGATTTGTTGCGGTCGGCCACTTCTCTTTACTGTGGTAGCTCAGACAGGATCTGTTCACTCGACGCTTCGCTGAAGTGCTCATCTAGATTTCGCGTACCGCGATCTCTAGGGCTGGGAGGAGATATCCTTGCCCGTGAAACTCGTCCATCGCGATAAGAGCTTTGCCGCGGATATCCCATAGATGCAGTAGAGACATGTAAGCTGCACTTTGCCCATCGACTGTCATCCCAAGAAGTTATCCGAACGCCTGACAGCCGCAGAATACGTGTCAAGGTCACTTGCATGGCCAATAGCTCACAGCTCGGACGTGGCCATTTTGTCTCGTTAGTGGTATCTGACTGGTACCGGTTCTGAACTTTACAAGCCCAGAATACTTATGGTAGCGAAAATGGTATTGGGCTTCCATCGGCGTTCTATTGGCTTTGTGGACTATGTCCATTCCTTCCTCAATGCGAGGGGGAGTTCTAGTCGACAGACCATATCGGTGCACCATTGCTTATGCAATGGCAGCCAGAAAAGGTTCTCCTGGGAGTTGCGTCGTCAGTAGGTGGACCCTGACCCTATCATAATATGAAGGCACCCATCCCCCAGTAGACGTGCAGCTTCTTGCTCAAGGTGATTATATGTTTTGCAAGGGGTGAACGGTAACAGGATTTGACCTCAGTGATTGATTCTGTCACGAAGAGCCAGGTTATAAGCCCTTCCAACAACGGCGCTAACCTATGATATTGCAGAACCGGACCGGCTGGGGCGGGGGTATGACCCGGTGCTATCCTAGATGCAGTAGCAGACCCGGACGATACTGGCGCAACAGGATTGATGATATACGCTGGCCTCGATGTTGACTGGACCAATAGCGGCGGCATTCAGGAAGAAGATTTTATTTGCCGGAGCAGTGGTTCAGCATGTTCCTTGTCAAAGGCAGCTGCGAATCATTCGCACTCGTGCTCCGAAGCCACTTGCCCTTAGCCCTCTCCAGAGCTTGTGATCAAGCACTCCATCCTGAATACAGTCACTTCCATGTGACTTATGGCTTTGTGCTATTGGAGAATATGTTGAGCAAGGATTTCCCTGCTGAATCGTCTTTTATAGACGTCCACAGCATTAGCCAATCTTGCTTCCCTTCAGTCAATCTAACGTTGCAGCTCTAACAGTCTGGAAGTTGTCGACATCACGGCTTGCAGTCCTTCCATTGCATTTCTCGAAGCCCACTATGAGGGCTGATATCACCTCCAGGAGATGACATTGACCTCTTCGATGTGCAATTCCTAGATCCGAGCTTGAGAAGATTGTTCAATGGCTTGCCGATCAGACCAGTAAGCCTCGCTAGCCTATCCGAGTCCGAGTCCTTTCCTCCAACCTCATTCTTTTTCTCAATCGCAATTGCCTTCTTTCTCCGTGGCTTCTGCTTCTTGGACTTTATGGAGTCTTCAATAAACCACACCTTCGAGTCCAAGAGTAAATGCCTTGAGCACCTGCTCAAGGACCGAGAATAGGTCACCATCCCGGTTATCTCTGAGTTCGGACGTGCAAGAGCGTGGGAGCAGCATGACGACAAGTCTAGTCCATGGTGAAAGTGCTTGCTCGGATCCATGCTGCCTAGACTGTGACAGTACCTTCAAACCTGTGCAGCATTATGACTTCAACATCTAGGTCATCTTGGATGTGGAAGGTGGAAGATGGCAGAGAGACACTCATCGGACAGCGCTATTTTTGCGCCCTGCTGTTCAAGTCTCACAGTCTTCTCTGCCATGCAAGAGAAGTTACCAGAATGGGTTCCCGCCTGGTTCTCAAGGTCAGTGAGGCTTCGAGATCCTCCCTGTCCTGGTGGCGTGCTGTTTGAATGTTCATTGCTGAAGGGCTTATGTGTACTCTTCTGTGAGCTGTTCTGCCTCTGCTTCGTCAATTGGGGCCTTGGTTTCGTTGAGTGTTCTCGCAAGTGTCAGTGATAATGCCTGGTTGACCATTACTGCTACCCAGTAGGGTTCACCGGCATTGTACGTGCTCGACTTATGAGCGAGTTGCACACGTGCCTCTTCACCAAGAACTTCATGCGTCCATTCGGGTTCTTTTTCATCAGTTTGTAGTTCTATCATGACCCCCAATGGGGTAGAATTCTGAGGTTCTCGACTCGAGATCATGGTTTTTCGGGACCGTCGTACTCAGCTGCTGGGTTAACAGTTGCTTTCCCCCTGCCTTCTGCACTCCGATTTCTGTTCAATCTTCCCACACGCGGATGTTCCTCACCTCTACAGGAATCGTCATCGTGCCGTGACAACCGATAATGCGTAGGCTAGAGATGTTGGGTCGTTCTTCGCGATGCCTCCCAGGCCGTAATTGTCTGGTTCTTCATGGGGACATATGCTTCAAAAATACGACTCCCTTCATAATTTCTCCCCAGAGTTCCTGGTCGAGTCCTAGGTCCTTCAAGACAGCGCGAGCGCGCGTGAGTATAGTCAAACCGACGCGCACAGTTCCACTCTTTCCACACCCGGCCGACCCCTTCTCATTCTCCTGCTTCTTGTCCAGCTTTGACCATGTGAGATCTGCTCCAGCAACCCACGTGGTAGATCTTGCACCAGGCAGAGAACTTCACATCTAGCCTTTCGCAAAGAAGTTGGGTCACGTTGGCGGTTTGGAATGTTCTGTCCTTCGTATCAATCAGACACAAGGTCTTGTCTTCAAATTCCATGCTTCCCATGCCAAAGGATAGCTCCAAGAAGAGCAGCTGTAGCCTGACCCGTCGCCTTCGACCCACGCTTCTGTTGCTGGTAGGAGATTTCAGTAAAGCAGACATCATCCTAGACTCGAACACTTAAGTTCTGTCTTTTGAAAGATCGAATACCCGGGTAGTAGTACGCCGACGATAAATCGGTAATTTCCATCTCTTCCACAGCTTGCTGAAGTGCTGGTCCAGCCGCTGCAACAGCTTCTACTAAGTGGTACATAGCGGTACACATGACTAGCAGAAGCTCTGCTTTAGGCCCTTGACTTTGGTCAGATTCTAACTTCCTGTTTGAAGGTCATGTCGATTTGCAATGATGTAGCCTTCTCTCGGATACTAGACCTAATGATGCTCACGCTAAGACTCTGCCATTTTTGTAGATATTCTGGATGTAGGTAGTGGTGTTGGTCCTTTCTTCCAGCACATTCCGCAGCACACGTTGACAGGGCACTGCTATATATCATCGGTAGCATAGATACATTTGATCCCAGAAGACAGCATCAAAGCCACGGCTAGTGGGTTTCGTTGTTATTGCATGGAAAGGATTGCTTGGGCCACCCTTGTCTTGGCCTGAGTTGCTGCAACGAGTGTTTTCTATCGGCTTGACCCGTCACTTGACCAAGGAAGCACAGGTACAGCACATCTTCGTAAGCCGACGCCATTTGTTGAAGGCTCCCTGCGCGAATTAGCAGGTCCCAATGCGGGACAACTTGAAGACTCTAGTACCGGGTCATGCTGCAAGAATAACGGTATGATAGACGCTTCTTCAATGTGAGCTGAGTTTGTAGCTCTCAGAGTGACACTTTCCATTCATCTGTCTTAAGCCTCCTGGTGAGCCGCAGCGAGTGTCCTCATGCTAAAGACACTTCTCTTGTAATGTTGGACTTAAATGTTTGTGGGCTTTGGAGAGTTGCAATGACAGCTGCTACATAGCGCTGTCTCGTAGGATGTTTGCTCGGCGGCAGTTTCGTATGTGTCATTGTCGTCGCTATCCTCGCCGTCACTATCTGCATCAGGATGGGTACGACCGTAGATATGAATTTAATGCACAGGCTCCAAGGACGTGGGCGTCCAGCATTCCCTCTTTCCGCTCATATTGCTGCTGCTGCATGATTTCGCGCGAAGATTTGTCAAGTAGGGCGTCATCAAAGGACAGGTCCTCTATCATTGCTCTGGTTGTACTAGTCAGGGGTAGTCCCAATGCTCGAGCGCCTGGTTTAGCATAACCCATCCCCACTGACCCCGATTAATGGTATGGCTGAGGGCTAAGCTTGGCTGGTCAATATCTCAAGCTTGGAAGAGAACATATGTCGTTGGGTTGATTCCCTTGACCAAGTGTAGTCCAAAAGACACAGCACTCTGCTTCACTCATTTCATTGAGTCTCCATAATCCATAATCGCTGATCAAGGAAGCTGACAGGCAGGCTCTGGACCAGACCAATCGATAGTGATTCAAAGGCTCAGTGAGCGAAAAAGGATTACCTGTAAGAGCTCTTCCAGGTCTTGACGCGCAACTGCTCAGCAGGCCACAAACACCATAATAATGTGGCAAGTAAATGAGGGCTCGACCTGTATTCTTGCACCAACGCTTCATTGATCAGAGCATATTGCACCCTCTGCAAGGGCCAGGACTTGTGATTGATCTGAATACAGTTATTGCACTTCTGTCCACGACCGCCACCTACACACATCTCGAAGGCGTCCATGCAGGATATGCCGCACACCAAACCGAGAGGAAGCTGGTCAGCGCTAGTCACGAGGATGTCCTCGCAGAGCCGAGCCCATATATTCATCAGTCAGCAGCACTGGCTTGCCAACCAAGAGGGTGCTTCCTCTTGGGAAAAAGTACTGCGCATTCTCGTCGGTGACACCCGCGCGCGGCTAGACCGTACGAAAAGAGCGGAAGTCAAGACCGGCGACAATATCCAACAGCGCTCGCGACCTGACAGGGGCTGCAAAATATGTCCGCGACCACTGCTTCGATTTCAGTGTAGTCGAGATCGAATGATTTCATACTGTAGGTGGTAGAAGGCGGGGCGGGCGAGGCCTCAGTCGACAAAGCCGTGAGATCAATGATATTAGCGGCATAGAGGGGGGATTAGCCTCAGGGTTTCCCAGCAGATGGAGCATACTAGACGTGTAGGTTCAGCTTTCTTTGCAAACAAAGGTACCAGACTACTGAATCAAGGTAAGCAAGTGTCTCTCACGCAAGCAATAAACTGGCGCGTACCGGAAACAAGAGCACATTTGTGCAAGTCATTCTCGCTGGGCTTCTGTCCTGTATCACGCAGACTTTCGACGATGGGCCAAAGCCTACGCTCCGCCTCTCGTGTTTATTCGATCTGGTACTCAGGCTCTTTCCCGTCCTCGCGACTGGTCCAAAGCTCTCGGTTTCGCTCTTTATCTGTATCATTGACCTCCGAGAAGCCATAGCTAATGCGTCTGTGCTACTTGGACTCGCACAGGACGTACCATCCTTTGTACTGTGGGAAGAACAAGCGGCCGTGCAACTTGAAGAGAATTGTGTGGCGAAACTTACAAATCCTTCATCTTGAGTTTGTACTGCTTGATCAGGAACACAAGCTCCCAAGGAAGTCTTCTGAACGGTTCCATCCTAGCGACTCTATTCGCTACCGATTAGCTAGGGGCACAACCTAACCATGCAGAGAGAAATGAGGATTTGCTATTTTTTCCAATCCCATAAGGACAGTCGAGGTTACTGTGATCAGGTTGTTTGTGTCGCAGTATGATCATCCGCGTTCAGCATGCTTCCCTAGAAGTTGTCAACAAGGCTAGAGACATCCTCACTATCCTCGAAACTGGCAGGAACAGGGATTTGTCTGGCTGGGAACCATGTCATTCTGTGAGACATGACTTTGTGTTTGGCACAACAGTTGTTGTTAGGGTGCTAGAACGTGACCTCAAGCAAAGCAGACTTGGACAAGAGGGTACGGTCCAGCTCAGATGGTCTCGCGAACGGAGGATGCTCAACTCAGTGGTTTTTGTGGTGTTTTGCTCAACCTGAGATACATATCAGACTATCGAGATAGAGTCATTTAGCACCACTTTCCAATAGCGGTTCTATCAGACTACTTGCTCAGAAAGAGCTCAAGGTGGTCGAAACGCTCAATAAAATAGGCCGTTATACTCAAATTCGATTGATCGAGACCTTGCACGAGGATCAGCCTACCGGTGGTTGTCTTTGCGGACAATGCTTTGCGGTGATCCGGATCCTTGAAACGGTTCTGATTTGAAGAAACGAGATACTGGCACTGGGATTGACGGGCTACTCAGCCAGCAACTGCGTATTTCCAAGTGTCCGAGGTCAATGCGCATCAGTCCCAAGATTCATTCCCTGGGGGCATCAAGATCGAAGATTCCCCCGGTCTCTAGCTGCACTAGAAAACACTGAATGAATTCTTTTCACGAGCGATCCACTGGAGTCAACGATGGGAGTAGTAGCAGGACCACGGATCTTTTGGGCTTTTCTTTGCGGTGTTTTTGAGGAAGCCCTGGCTGGTTTGTCGGCTTCCTAACTGCAAGCTAACTATACCAGATGAGTTAGCAATCAAGGTACTCTGTCTCGGTTGAATTGTAGGGCTGGGACTCTGGCCGGTCTTCCTCCCCCTCCTCTCCTCTCCGGCCTGCTTGTAGCAACCACTGCCTGAAGACAGCGGCCAGCTTGCAGCTGAACCCGTACGGCTCGTCCAGCGGCTGCCAATGGAGATTCTGGGATGATCTTCTGCGTTCAGTTTCAGCTGTTGAACGACCTCACCATCAACAATACCCTTCTCTCTAGGTAGGTAAGATTTGCTTTCTGTTGTTGTTCAAACAGGGCTCAAGTATATCGCCTGGTCCTGTACGAGAGATGAAACCCGCAGCGCCGCTTGGCAGAGGTAAACAAAGGTTTTCGCGACGATAAGTTTAGCTGATCTTCGGTTCTTGAGCCATTAGCAATCTTGCTGGATTTTTTCCCCGATTGTCTGCTACTGCAGACTGAACGAAGGAGTTGGACCTGTGCATAACATAAATACGAAGCCCCGATGCTTCAGTGTGCCGCTAATCAACGGTTGTGTCCTTCGTCCACCGCAGGCCGTCGGTGCGATAGTATCAATTCCCTCTTGAATAATCGGTAAGGCTGTGAGACATCCCGCAATTCTCAAAAGTGACACTAATCTTTTCCTATACTGCAGGTGCTTTACGTTCAAGGTCGTATTCTGATGTTTGCCACCTGGAAGAGCCATTTTTTGTCGAAGCTGATTGTGAGGGATATCTCTTGTCCTCTTTCAGGCACGAGGGAGGCTCTTGTTGGTGCTGATCCTTGAAGACACTTTGTCTGTAGTCATGCTGACTGGTTTAGTGAGAAGATAGATAGCCCTCTTGTGATCTTTCTTTGGTTGAACCGGCATACGTGAA